CCCGTCTAGCACTAACACGGGCTCTGGCGGGCTCATCCCCCCCAGGAAACTTGGGATCTGCACAAAGTTGGTGTGAGAAGAAAAGATTTCTTCAGACATTTTGAAATTAACATGTTGCATTTGTATGAAAGAGCCCAACCCTCCTTGGGGAACAGATGCTAAATACGGCGTTCATACAGCCAGTCCTAGGGGGGAGTTTTAGATTGGGCCAGAATGGTGGTCTGGTACATATCATCCAGGACCTTCCACCCATCCACCCATCCATCTACACATCCATCTACCCCTCCACCCACCCATTCACTCATCCGTTCCTCCATCCATCCATCCACCCATCCATCCATCCATCCATCATCCATCTATCCATCCACCCAAGCATTCATTTAACCACACATCCATCCCTACACCCATCCATCCACTCATCCATTCCTCCATCCATCCATCCATGCATCCATCCATCTACACATCCATGTATCCCTCCACCCACCCTTCCATCCATCATTCATCCATCCATGCATCCATTCATGTGTTGATCCATGCATCCAGCCATCTACACATCCATCCTTGCATCCATTCATCTATCCATCCCTCCATCCATCCATAACCTGTTCACACATCCATTTACCTATCTACCCACCCAACTGTCTATCCATCTACTCATGCATCCATCCATCCACATATTTATCTATCCATCCACCCAAGCATCCATCCATCTACACATCCATCTATCCCTCCACCCACCCATCCACTCATCCATTCCTCTATCCATCCATTTGTCATCATCCATTCATTCATGCATCCACCCATTCATCCATCCTTCCATCCATCGCTAATCTATTCACACATCCATTTACCCATCTACCCATCCATCCATCCACACATCCATCATCCATTCATCCATGCATCCATTCATGCATCCATCCGCCCATGCATCTATCCACTCATCCATTCATCCATCCCTCCATCCATCCATAGCCTACCCTCACATCCATTCACCCATCTACACATCCATCCATCACCTCCTCACCCCACCATCAACCCATCCACCCACACACCACCCATTCATTCATCCATCCATCACATACCCACCCACTTGTCTACTCATCCATCCATCATCAACCCATCCACTCACCCATCCATTCACCTATCCACCCCTCCATCCTTCTGTCATTCAGCCATCACCTGCCTGCCCATCCATACAACTATCCATTCATCCATCCACCCAAGCATAAACAACCATCTATCCACCCCACCATCTACTCACCAATTTTCCCTGTTACCCTCCCTCCCTTTCTCCCCTTCTTCTTCCTTTTGCCCATCCATACACCCATCCATCTACCCACCCATCTATCCAACTCTCCATTCATCCAACCATCCACCACCCATCCATCAACCCACCCGTGCATTCATCAATCTACTTATCCCTTTCTCTCTCTCCTGCACTTTTCTCTCTCCTTTCGTTCATCCCTCCTTCCTCCTTTCCATCCATGCAGCCTTCCATCCATCCATTCGTCCCTTATCTATCCACCCACCTATCCATCCACCCCGCTTCGCCCGCCCATTCATTCATCCATCTGTAAACATATGTTAAATGCACTGTCTTCCAGGTACCAAGCCTGTTGAGGACACTGGCAGAACTAAGTGAGACTAACTCAATTCCTGCTGGAAAAGACGCAATGAGCTGTCTGCCTTCAATATGACACCTGCTGCGGAAGACCTGGGGAGAATGGGGGTTTCAGGCAACACTGCCCAAGGGCCAGAACCCAGAAGCTGGGGTGGGAGCAGACTTCCAGAGGTGATGACATGGCATAGGAGCAAGTGGGTGAAGCTGGGAAAGTGCATGGTGGGAGCAGAAAGAAGGTAGTTCCAGAAGAGAGAACAAGAGGATGGGAAGGAGAGTGAAGCCTGGGAGAGCGTCTGAAGGGCTGGGAGTGTCTCAGGTGCCCAGATGCCCAGGTGGGATGGACCTGCTCTCTCTAATGCCCTGGGACAGCCCACTACAATCTGGGTGCTCATTGTCTCACAGCTCCCGAGGCTGTAAGGTTGAGATCCTGGTGTGGGCGGGGTTGCCTCCTGTTGGAGGCTCTGGGCAGCATCTGTTGTGTGCGTGCCTCCAGCCCCTGGTGATGCTGGCAGCCCCCCGTGAGCCTTGGTTTGCAGGCACATGTCTCGATGTCTGCCTCCGTTGTCGCTCGGCTGTCCTATCCTGGGCTCTGTCTCACTGTCTCTCTTCTCCCCTTCCGAGGACACCAGTTGTTGGATTTAGGGTCTCAGTGTCTCTGCTCTCCTCTCATAGGGTCCCCATCACACTGGGTTTGGGGCCCACTCTACTTCCCTGTGACCTTGTCTTATCTAACTGCATCCAGGAGCCAATTCTTCCCTTTTCTTGGGGGACACGGGTCAACCTTTCACACCACCTCACCAGCCAGTGCCGTGGCTCTCGGGCCCTTCCTGCTGTGAGTGCTCACTCAGTGCTGGCCTTTCTGCTGCTCCCAGCGTTGGCTTTTATGGACACTGCACAGGCCTCTCGATGTGTCCACCTGCTGGTCTGTGACAGGCATGCGGAGAATCGTGGGGCTTGTGATCATGTCTCTTAGGTTGGAATCCTGTAGAGTCTTGAGTGGAGATTGTTGTGCTCCTGACTCACTGGGACTCAGAGAAGAAAACCAGGAGAGAGCAGGAAACAGGCCAACAGAGGGAAGAGGGAAGAGGTTGGAGCAGGCGTGGTTGCAGGCGGGTCCCAGCCCATCCTCACGGGGACTCTGGACGTGCATCAGACTGCAGGTCGGGATGGGGGTTTTGCTCTCAAGATGGTCAGAGTCTGGCCCTGGGCCACCCTGGCACAGGCTTTGATCCCAGGGGCCCCTGGACAAGGGTCCAGCTGCCCAAGGCCAGCCCTGGGGGCTTCAGGTGTGAGCTGTTAGGGCGGCACCTCTCTCAGTGGTGGGGGGAGGTCATGGCCACCCCTGAGAGTAACGGGCATCCTAAGTGACAACAGGGAGGTTGGGGGGCGGCAGTAAGGCTGGAGGCAGGCTCAGCCCTCGTGGGCAGCACAGCACTTTTCCTGCCACGGAGTTCTGTCACCCACCTGAAAGGTGCGAGTGTTCTTCCCGTCCACACGCAGCCACACAGGGGCTCAACTTCTCAAAGCCCGGCTGCTGTGATGGGTGTGTGCCGTGACATGACGTGGTGGCTGACTGCATGCCCGTGACAACTGGCGAGGTTGGGCCTCTTTTCATACGTTTGTTGGCCATGTGGGCATTTTCCCTTGCTGGCACTCATTCCAGGTTTCTGTCCACTTTTCTGATGGGGTGTCTGCCTCTTCCTTACGGACTTGTGGAGTTCTTCCTGCGCTCGGGGTGTACGTGCCCCTCCCTCACCTGCTCCCTCAGGCACTCCTGAGTAAATTACTCAGCACGAGGACCCTGCATGCACCTGCACTGTGCTTTTTGGTTGCCTGCAGAGCCCACAAGCTCGCTGGGGACCAGCAGGTATGGGGCTGGCACTGTGTGGGGTGTGCAGGGGCTGCTTAGTCCTGGGGCGCCATCAGCCTGGAGTGCTCCTGTGCTCCCCCAAGGATGCCATCCACAACTCACACTGGAGAGGCGGCACCCTACATGCGGGTGCCCACTCCTCCCTGCTCGGGGACTGCTATGCCTTTGTTTTGGGGGTTGGGGAAGGGTCTCAGCTGGTTGTTCCCCCAGGGTCCTGATCCCGGGTCCACATGCCACCAGTCTCTGCAGACCCCACACCTCTGAGAAAGGCTTCAGTGCCATGGGCCTAGGCGGGACCACGACCCGCTTAGCAAAGCCCAACCGTGTCTGTGGCCGGTAGCCATCTGGGATGGCCCCTGCTGCTGAGCTGCTGAGACCACAGGCAGAGGAGACCCACCCGGCCCCGGAGCCCACCTCTCCAATTGATAGGACTTAATACGGTCACCCATAATGGTGTCGGAGTCCTTCAAGTCTCATCCCACATAGTATCCGCCTGGACCCCCAGGCCTGCGTGGCCAGCAGGGATGCCCTCCATGATGTGCAGAACCTCCACCAGCTGCCGGGCACAAGGGGTGCCCTCAGCGTGAGGAAGGGGGTGCCCTCAGCGTGAGGAAGGGGGTGCCCTCAGCGTGAGGAAGGGGGTGCCCTCAGTGTGAGGAAGGGGGTGCCCTCGGGCGGTTCGGGGCCAGGCCGCAGGTGGGCTGGTGGGAGTGACACTTGTCCTATTGCAGGTCACTGCGTGGAGAGGAGACTGCCATCCTGTCACAGGTCAGCTAAGGGTATTGGTGTTTACTCCAAGCACTGGGACAACCCTGGGGTTTCCCTGGGCTGTGGCCTGATCTGTTGGTATCTAGAAGAGTCCTTTAGGCTACAGAGTGACAAAAGAGGGCCAGGAGCCACTAAGATCTGGGGCAGGGCTTTCAGGAGGCTCTCGGGCTAGGCAGCGGCAGTGGTCAGACAGTGTGGTTGGAGTCTGGACACATGGAGAGCCCACGGGAATGCTGGTGGGCAGGTGAGGGGCAAGGAGAGGGTGGCGCAGGATGGCATCAAGGTCCAGCCTATGCAAGTGGGCACGATATAAAGTAGGTGCCACAACCTGCCACAGGGACCGTGCAGGAGTGCAGACCTGGGTGAGGTGCACCACTGCACCCAGCACTACATCAGATCCCGGGAGGGGGATGGGTCACAGCCAGCACACCCATGTGAGAGCCTGGGAGGGGGACGGGTCACACCGAGCACACCCGTGTGGGAACCTGGGAGGAGTGGACAGATCGAATCCAGCACACCCGTGTGGGAGCCCGGGGAGGTGGGAACCCAGCACACCTGCACAGGAGCGTAGTGGAGGTGTTACTTCTAGGTTTTGGGGGAGGCTGTGAGGAGAGATGTGCCAAGAGGCATCAGGTGTGGAAGCCTTGCTGTGAGTGGGCTGGGGTGGGGTGGAAGCTGACCTTGGGGTGTGAACAGGTGACCTGGGCCCAGCCAAAATGAGGCAAGGAGGCTGAGGCAGTGTTTCCACTGAGGATGTCTTTATTGTGCCGAGGGGCCCATAAGATGCTGACTAGAGAGAGGTGAACAGACACAGACAACACCCAGGGTGCTACACGGAGTCCCTCCCCAGAAGGCGGTGGGAAGCCACCCTCTGTGCTAACCGCAGCAGCCTCGCAGTTCATGCGGCGGCTCCTGCCGAGCGTCACCCTCCAGTCCCTGGAGCCCTCGTCCACCTTCGGGGATGTGACTGCCCCCGGGCAGCACGCAGGCAGCCCTATCTTGGCCCATGAATTCAAAATGCAGTGTCCACTTTCCCGTCGTGACCGAGCGCAGCGTGCGTGGAAAGGTGGGTCTGGCCAAGCTCCCTCACTCAGTGCTGCTGATTGTTTTTGGAAACAACACCTGTAACATCAGCAAGCAGATTCGCAGGCATCGCATTCTTGAATTTGTTCTGATTCACAGGTGAATATGATTTTAAAAAGACATTTCCAAACATAAAAACTGTTGTTATTGATGCCACATGCACCTGAGAAAAATCAAATTCCAGTGGGTGCCTCGTTGAAGGTCACGGCTCAGGCCAGGCAGAGTGTGGCCTGCTGGCTGCCTGCGAGGGAGCCCTGCATGCATCCCGGGGCAGGACACGCCCCTGTGAGGGGTCTGCATGCATCCCGGGGCAGGACACGCCCCTGTGAGGGGTCTGCTTGCATCCCAGGGCAGGACACGCCCCTGTGAGGGGTCTGCTTGCATCCCGGGGCAGGACACGCCCCTGTGAGGGGTCTGCATGCATCCTGGGGCAGGACACGCCCCTGTGAGGGGTCTGCTTGCATCCCAGGGCAGGACATGCCCCTGTGAGGGATCTGCATGCATCCCGGGGCAGGACACGCCCCTGTGAGGGATCTGCATGCATCCCGGGGCAGGACACGCCCCTGTGAGGGGTCTGCATGCATCCCGGGGCAGGACACGCCCCTGTGAGGGGTCTGCATGCATCCCAGGGCAGGACACGCCCCTGTGAGGGGTCTGCATGCATCCCGGGGCAGGACACTCCTCTGTGAGGGCTACACCACAAGGACCCACAGGTGGCCCGAGTGGCAGTAGCCTGAGTTGGTTTCAAGGAGTTTTATTTCTCTCTACTGCAAGAACATAAACAGAATTTCCTGGTGAGACACACCAGGACCCCTGTCCTCCAATGCCTCTGAACAGACTCTGTGTGCAACGTGTCAACTGAATGCCCAATTTACAGCCTCTGCTGGGAGCCAAGCATCAGGAAAGGACTTTGCAGGAACTCGTGGTTTCTTCCAGTTCACCTTCTGCACAGCTACACAAAGCAGGACGCACAGCTTTTTAACACAGGCAAAATAAACGTTCTAGGAAGCGACCGCGATGAGCACTCTGAGGCATTCCCGCTGGGTGTGTCAAGGATGGGGACCCCCACCTGAGAACAGCGCCCGGCCAGCCTCGGAGCTGGGAGTCAGGGCAGGGAGGGAGCCTCACACAGACAGCAGGAAGGCAGGCGTTTTACTGCCCTGAGGGGCAGGAATGGGGTGGACCGCACTGCACAGATCTACATTGTTAGGACAGCAACACAAGACACGCGGGCTGCGCTCCCGGCAGGGAAAGGTGTCAATAGTCACAAGAGAGGAGCTTCTGCTTTGTTTTTTGTTTTTAGTAGAGGTTGGAGAGCAGAAGTTGCCTCCTGCTCTTGAAGCTTAGATTTCCTTGGTTTGTTGGCTTCTCTTCCACGGCGGGACGATCTCCCGGGGTCTTTGTCTCCGCTCCTTCTACACCTTGAGCCAGTGGCGGAGCTGAAAGAAAACAGACAATGCGGCTGCTTGGAGGGGCAGCCCCGGGCCCACACCCACCTCTTGTGGCTGCTCGGAGAGTGGCAGCCCTGGGCCAACGCCCACCTCTTGTGGCTGCTCGGAGGGGGCAGCCCCGGGCCCACACCCACCTCTTGTGGCTGCTTGGAGAGTGGCAGCCCCGGGCCAACACCCACCTCTTGTGGCTGCTTGGAGGGGGCAGCCCCGGGCCCATGCCCACCTCTTGTGGCTGCTTGGAGGGGGCAGCCCCGGGCCCACGCCCACCTCTTGTGGCTGCTTGGAGGGGGCAGCCCCGGGCCCACTCCCACCTCTTGTGGCTGCTTGGAGGGGGCAGCCCCGGGCCCACGCCCACCTCTTGTGGCTGCTTGGAGGGGGCAGCCCCGGGCCCACGCCCACCTCTTGTGGCTGCTTGGAGGGGGCAGCCCCGGGCCCACGCCCACCTCTTGTGGCTGCTTGGAGGGGGCAGCCCCGGGCCAACGCCCACCTCTTGTGGCTGCTTGGAGGGGGCAGCCCCGGGCCAACGCCCACCTCTTGTGGCTGCTTGGAGGGGGCATCCCCGGGCCAACGCCCACCTCTTGTGGCTGCTTGGAGGGGGCAGCTCCGGGCCAACGCCCACCTCTTGTGGCTGCTTGGAGGGGGCAGCCCCGGGCCAACGCCCACCTCTTGTGGATGGGACCAGCAGCCGGCAGTGAGCAGACAGCTTGCAGCCTCCTGACCACAAGCCCTGGGAGAGCAGGGGGCTCGTGGGGTGCCCAGACCACCATGCTCCTGGCAGGCGCCAGGGATCCAAAGCCTCACTCACTTCTATAAATCATTACTTGATTGTTAAAAAGCTGTGAGACTGTGTTTGCCATGGTGGGCATGGTGGCCTCTGGGGCGTATCTGAGTTCAGCTGCTGGGTCCAAGAGATGCTGGGCACTCTCAATTTGGGGCTGGGTCCAGACTGCACGCCAGTGACTTGGATGTGATGTGGTGATGTCACCTCTCCCCCATGTCCCCGCCACCTTCCTGGGGGCCTTGGATGCTTTGCCAGAGTGAGATGCTGCCTCTGCAGCTCTGTCTTGCTCTTGGTGACCCTGGCGGGCACAAGAGCAGGGCATGTTGACTGCTCAGGGACCAACAAGAGCAGCTCTTTAGATGGTCGGCAAATGTCACTGCCCGCTATCATGCAGCCGTGAGTTCAGCCTATTTCTGAGCAGAAGCCTCTCGATAGCACGAAATGGCAAGAAGTGTGCTTCACAAACATTTACAAATGGCCACACAGGGCTTGCTTCTGACAAAACCACACCGGCCACGGAAAGCCACTGAAGCTACCACTGGCCACACCACAGGCTCCTTTGGCCACTCCATGGAGAGCCTGCAGGGGCCTCTGCAACCTGGCTGGGATCACACAGTATGCCAGGGGTCTGCAGGGGGCCTGGAGCAGCCACAGCAGACACCAGCACGGGCAGCATCCAGGTGAGGCTCAGGGCTCCGTGAAGGCTGCTGGGGGCAGGGAGCCTGGTCAGGACCCACAGCAAGGGAATGCTCAGTGGTTGGAGCCCTAGAGCCGAGGCTCTGGTGGCAGCCCTGCCTCAGCCCAGTGATGGGGAAGCCATGCGTGGGACTCTAGCTGTGAACCTTTCACCCCCGGGAGAAGCCGTTCTCTGTCCTGCCCTCCAACAGAAGCAGGAGGTCTCCCTCTGGAGGAAGGTGTGCCTGGGGGACCCCCAGATTTCCACAGAGTAAGATCAAGCATAAACATAAAATAAAGACCAGAAACAGAAGACAGCACCCATTCTGAGCGAGTCCCTGGAAACCAGACTTCCACTGGACCCCAGAGGACCATACCGGTTGCAGCAGATTACAGGATGGCCGCACAGGGGGCTCTTGACAAAGTGACACTCACACAACACGGTGATGAGAATGTCATGAGAAACAGCAGAGCACACATGCGGCTTCCGGAGACGAAGAAGAGAAGGGGATGGCTGGGAACGCAGAGCACGGGAAGGAGCGGGAGGCAGAACCTGCAGAGCTGGGATGCAGAGCACGGGAAGGGGCGGGAGGCAGAACCTGCAGAGCTGGGAACGCAGAGCACGGGAAGGGGCGGGAGGCAGACCCTGCAGAGCTGGGAACGCAGAGCACGGGAAGGGGCGGGAGGCAGAACCTGCAGAGCTGGGAACGCAGAGCACGGGAAGGGGCGGGAGGCAGAACCTGCAGAGCTGGGAACGCAGAGCACGGGAAGGGGCGGGAGGCAGAACCTGCAGAGCTGGGAACGCAGAGCACGGGAAGGGGCGGGAGGCAGAACCTGCAGAGCTGGGAACGCAGAGCACGGGAAGGGGCGGGAGGCAGAACCTGCAGAGCTGGGAATGCAGAGCACGGGAAGGGGCGGGAGGCAGAATCTGCAGAGCTGAGCTGTGGTTTGTTTACATGACGGACAGTCAGCGACCAGTCACGGTGGGGGAACTGTAGCTATGAACAACGACACTTCTGATCTAGATGAAATAACAGGGGCTGAATTTACCCTACTGTCCGAAACAACCCCCAAATAAACAAAATACATGCACCAGTGACCTTCCAGATACTGGACAGCACAGCGTAAGGGTCGGTGGTCCCTGAGGGAAGCAGAAGGAAGGCCCCCGACCAGAAGGGCCACCTCCACCACCCTGCTCGCTGCCTCTAGGGAGTTTCTTGACTGCAGCACAGGGAAGGCACAGCCCAGTGGACTCCCTGAGCGGAGATGCTGGAAAGGAGAGCTAGAGAAACAGAGGTGGCTGCAGCTTAGAGGCTGGAGCGCCAGAGAGGAGATCCTGGACAGTGGCCCCTGACCTCCACTGAACATCCCATGTGCATGAGGAGGCTGGGGAAAGAACTATCGACAGAGCCAGAGAGAAGGAACCACCTCTGATGCCCACACAGGGGTGGGCACAGTCCCTGCTCCCCCAGCCAGGAAAGACAGCAGGGTTCTTGGGGCTTCGCATGGAGCGTGCACAACGTCTCGCCTCAGGGGTCAGTTAGGGCTACACCGAATGCTGAAGCCAAATAACAGCCTGGGAACCTAGAAATGTTTAGAGATGCAACAAAACAAGACCGTAAGAAGGGCGAGGGAAAGATCGAGCTGGACTCGAGGACAGATGGGTGTGGGCAGCTTCACAGCGTCTGGTTTTCCCGCTGTGGGCTCACAGGGTCTGTTTGTTACACGGACAAATCAATCATTTGAAAATGGCCACCTGTGGATTAATGATAAGAGTGTGCTACTCAACTGTGCACCTGAGATTCAAATGAGAGCCATTCCCAGGGGCAAAGTGGACACGCCAGAGCCTCACAGCACAAACAGGCAGAAGGCAGTCTTCCAGCATGCTGCAGCAGAAGTCACAGAACGACACGAGTTTTGAATCTGCAGATCTGGATACACAACATATCCAGAGAGGATAAGAAAAGAAGAAACCCAGGTCCCCACACTTCACAGTGAACCTGCAACATGAAAAGCACAGGAAACACGGCCACGTGCAAGGGTGTGGCAGGGGTAGGACAGAGCACTGGAAACTCAGCCACGTGCAGGAGTGAGGCAGGGGTGAGGACAGAGCACAGGAAACTCAGCCACGTGCAGGGGTGAGGCAGGGGTGAGGACAGAGCACTGGAAACTCGGCCACGTGCAGGTGTGAGGCAGGGGTGAGGACAGAGAACAGGAAACTCAGCCGTATGCAGGGGTGAGGCAGGGGTGAGGACAGAGCACAGGAAACAGCCACAGGCAGGGGTGAGGCAGGGGTGAGGACAGAGCACAGGAAACTCGGCTGCGTGCAGGTGTGAGGCAGGGGTGAGGACAGAGCACAGGAAACAGCCACAGGCAGGGGTGAGGACAGAGCACAGGAAACTCAGCCACGTGCAGGTGTGAGGCAGGGGTGAGGATGGAGCACAGGAAACTCGGCCACGTGCAGGGGTGAGGCAGGGGTGAGGACAGAGCACTGGAAACTCGGCCGCATTCAGGGATGAGGCAGGGGTAGGACAGAGCACAGGAAACTCGGCTGTGTGCAGGTGTGAGGCAGGGGTGAGGATGGAGCACAGGAAACTCGGCTGCGTGCAGGGGTGGGGACAGAGGACACAGCATAGAATGGCTCACGAGTCCGTAGGTCTCAGCACAGCCACAGAACACTGATGCCTCCCTCCGAAATGCTGATGGTCACTGTCAGGCTAGGACCCAGAGGCCACCACAGTGCCTTCGTGACTGAGAGCAATATAAAGACGTTCACAAACACCAGTAGTGAGGAGGCTGGCAAGAGACCTCCTCTAAGGAATGTCTGATGGATGCTTTTTGGAAAGCAAAAAAGTGGTCCTAGAAGAAAATAAGTCTGTAACAAAAGTATGGGCATCAACAAACGCCAAGCATGCACATTAGTCCAAGGAACACGGTGAGTCCGTACAAAATAACAACAGCAATGAGAACAACAGTGTCTAATCTGCGGGTTAAAAAGACAGAAATGGATTTGAACAATCACAGCATATTCATCAGCAGAAGGAAGATTTAAGTCCTCATAACGGGACAGGGTTAAGACATGGTTTAACTGTAGAGTTTAAGTGAAAAATGTATGGTGCAACCTCAAGAGTAGCTATTAAAAGAACAGAATGAGGCTGGGCACAGTGGCTGTGAGGCAGAGGTGGGTGGATCACTCACCAGCCTGGCCAACATGGCAAAACCCTGTCTTTACTAAAAATACAAATCTTAACCAGGCATGGTGGTGGGTGCCTGTAATCCCAGCTACTCGAGAGGCTGAGGCAGGCGAATCGCTTGAACCTGGGAGCTGGAGGTTGCAGTGAGTGAAGCTCACACCTCTGCACTCCAGTCTGGGTGACAGAGGAAAACTCCATCCCAAAAAAAGAAAAAAATGTAGAAAGAAATAAACCGAATAAGAAAAACGAATGAGCCCAAAAAATCAACCTATAAAAAGGCAATAAAGGAGAGAAATAAACAATGAAACATGGGACAAACAGAATTGAAAGACAGTAGAATTAATTTCAAATCTATCAAGAATCACAACAAGTGTAAATGGGTTGATCTGCCCAGTTGTCAGAGTGAAAAATTCTAGGTGTTTGCTGGCTTTGCAAAAGACACCAAAATCTTCAGATCACTGCAGAGCCGAAAGTTAACAGGTTGCAAAAGGTACTTCCGGCAAACTCAAAAGACACCTGGTGCAACTCTAGTCATCCCAGACAAATCAGACTTTACGTTCAAAAGCTTCATTGGGAAGTGAAGATGGGTTCACGTCACCAGGAAGATACAACCCTTCTAGACATGGATCAACCGCAGGTAACAGCCTCAGACTAGAGAGCAAAGCCTGATAGAACTGCTGGGAACAGCAGATGAATAGGCTATCGAGGTGGAATATGCCACAGGCACCTCTCAATTACTCATGGTCAAGCACCCCTAAAATGGACAAAGTGTAGACAATGTGGGTAACATGACAGACAAGCCTATTCAAATGGACAGGAGGAGAACTGTGCATCGATCACTAGAGAAGAACACATTCATCTACAAGATGTACAACGTTTGTCAAAGTTGATCAGGTACAAGGCCCTAAAAAAGTCTCAATACGTTTTAAATAGTAGGCATCATATGTGTTTGAGAACAGCAAAATGAATTTGGAAATTAGCCACAAAAAGATGAATAAAACATCTGCATATATCCGGCAACTTAAAAACAGACTTTTAAGCAAGTTAGGATTGACAAACTCACAAACAATAGAAATTAAAGTATACTTAGAACTAAAAGGTAAAGAAAGTGCTATGTAAAACGTGGAATGCAACACATGAAGTATTTTGAGGAAAAGTCATAGCCTTCAATGCTTACATTAGAAAAGAACAAAGGATGATAATTAATCTAAGGTCCAAATTGAAAAGTTAGCAGAACTACAACAGAGTAGATCCGAGAAAAACAGAGGAAGAAACAATAAATACAGGAGCTGAGGTTAGAGCAAGAGTCCCACACGAAGTCAAAGTTGGATATTTGAGAAGACTAGCGAGATCCTCTGCAAAGTGCAATAGCCCCAGGTGTAGGACTCTCGCAGTAGAGAGGCTCTCGTGGAGCTGCACCAGAGGCCAGTGGGGAGGGGCTGGGGTCCCCTGGATGGATGGGTGTGAAGCCTGGATGCTCCTCCTGTGTTTGCAGCAGGCGAGTTTGGGAGGACAGAGGGAAGGGTGCCGAGGGAGGGAGACTGAGCCCACACCAGAACCAGGACTTGCAGGGAGGAGGAACACAGAAAGCTGTGCTCCTTGCTGGGGTCCTCGTACGTGAACTCATGAGACCCCTGCTGGGAGGACTCTTTACCAGGAGGAGGCACAGAGAGGTGGCCAGAGGGAAGAGGCAGCCCCAAGGTGGGGCCGCGGTGCCCTCCACACCACCCTTCTATGCCCTTTGCCATGCACTGGACTCTGCTGTCAGCATTTGTGTGACGTTAGTGCCTGGAATCAGGTCCTGGCTGAGGCCACTCTGCGGTGGAGAGGACAGTGCCATGGGCCCAGGGCACAGCCCAGGCTCCTCTCCTGCCAGGCAGCTCTGTGATGGTGGGCACACTCCTGGGCCTCTCTGGGCCTCAGGGGCCTTGTGTAGAGAGAGTGGTGGGCTGCCTTTCAGGGCTGTGGGAGGAAAACCTCAAGTGTTTCCTCTGTGCCCCTGGGAATGTACATGCTGCACAGCAGGTCATAAACACGCGTGATGTGAGCACACTCCTGGATGGCTCCCAGGGTGCAGGAAAGACCTGGTGTGACTATCCTTTCACCTGGAGACTACCCCAGGCTCCCCAGGCCTCCCCCAGTCCCTCCAGGGCTCCCTGAAGCTCCCTATGGCCAGGCCCAGGCTCCCCTCCTGGCCCACTCCTGGCACTGTCCCTGGTGCCCCTGTGAGGCAGGCAGGTCCCTTGCTGGTCCTCAAGCTGGCTTAGCTGGCCCTGCAGGGTGCTGCTCCCATGTCTGAGATGTGCCCAGGTCTTTGCAGGGATCGTGTGTAATGCAGGCGTCTGCACAGATGCTCCTCCCGGGCCCTCCGCATCACGCACCCCCTCCCAGGTGCATGCCTCCACTGTCCCCTGCCCCTGCTGCCTGCCTGTCCTCATGGAGCGCATGCTAACTGAGTCCATGAGTGCCACCTACACCAGTCTCGTCTACACCAGCCTTGTCTACACTAGCCTTGGAGCCCTCTGGGGGCTGCAGGAGCAGCTGGGGCAAAGAACACCATGCTTCGGACCATTCTGAATTCCCCAAGAGAGGCCCGGGGGTGCTGTGACCTCACCGTGAACTGGCGCACCTCCCCTCTGTCCAGCAGCCCATGGTCCTTCTCAGGCGTGATGGCGTAGGCCAGTTTCTGAAAGACAAGCAGAGTGTGGGGGCCAATGCAGACCAGCACCCACCTACCAGCACCCACCGCTGACTCACACTGCCAGCACCTGCACCTTCCAGCAGCCTCACCTGCCAGCACCCCTCACCTACCAGTGCCCACCCGCCAGCGTCCACACCACCCATGCCCACCACTGACACACTGCCAGTGCCCACACCGACCTGACACCGGTCAGGCCTGGAAGCCGATGTCCCGATGGTCTCCTTAAATGAGCCGTCACTTGCATTAAAACGTGGTCCTTGAGGCAGCTGTTTCTCAGCCACCACATGTGTGGGCTCTGAGTGAGAAAGTGCCTGTGCCCTGGTGGGCAGCCTTGGGGCCGCCTGTAGCTGGCACATTCCAGGAGCACTTGCCTTTTGTCCCCTGTGGCTCCTGAGACAGTGACCCCTGGGCCTACCTTCCTTCCACCTCCTGCTGCGGCAGTTCCTGGGTCCTGGACAGCACCAAGCCCTCCCAGAGCAGGTGGTACCTTCGGGGGCTCACACTCAGGGGCCTGGATACCTGTGTCTGGGTCTCTGAGGCCAGATGACTTCTCTCAGGGACCCCTGCATGTGACCCTATCCCACGTCATCACCACAGTTCAACCTGTACCTGGCCCAGCTGCTGAGGTTTTACTTGGCTTATGCTCAGAGTTTGGCCGTGTGAGGGGTAAGGGAATTGGCTATTCAGGCCTACTGGGCTGCAGCCGTCCTCCAGCTCCACGCTGACCTTGTCCCCTCCTCCCAAGTCCATCCAGACTCCCAGAGGTGCTGTCTCCCTGCAGGGACTGCCCGGCTGTGCGCTCTTCCCCTGTGCTGGGTCCTGGCAGGTCAGTGAGTGGGGACCTGAGAAGGACTATCCACAGCAGGGTACCATCAGCTTTCCTGGGACCATGGCAGCCCCTGAGCCCCTCCCACTCCAGAGAGGGGCCATGTTCTGTGCTTTGCCTGCACTGGGCCCTGGCCTGCCAGGCTGCTGGAGAGACTGGCTCAGTGCCACGTGTCTGAGCCCAGGCGTGGACCGAAGGTTGATTCCTCGAACACGGCTGGTGCAGCTATGGAGATTTGCTGCCCAGGGCCAAGGCAGTTCTTTCCAAGAAAGACTGGGATTTGAGGGCAGCAGCTCCCAGTGGCTGGCTCTCAGATGAGCGCAACCTTCTTCCAAGGAGGGCGGGTCCTTATCTCTTCCGGGGACCACAGAGCCAGGGTGTTAAATAGGGGGACCCCCATGACTGGTTCACCTGCCTTTCCTCTACACCAAGGAGGCAAAACCAAGAGGAGGAAAGGAAGTGCGTGTCAGTGACTCTGCAGAGCTCCCTCCACTGCTTGGGCTCCAAAGTGGGGCTTGGCCCTGGGGGGGCCTAGGTCACACCTGATTCCACCACCCGCAGATGGCTGCTGTGCCCACCCCACCACACACTATAGTGTGTAGGCATGCATGCAGTCAGTACACACAAACACTTGGACATGCATGAGAGCACAAACCCAGGCACACACACACACATGCACACAGAAACACAGCACACACAGACATGGAGATACAGTGGACGGACGCACAGGCACATGCACACATAGATACATGCAGACATGAAGATACAGTGGATGCACACACAGGCTCATATGTGCACACAGACACACACAGACAGGTAGATACAGTGGACGGATGCACAGGCACATGCACACACACACACAGGTAGATACAGTGGATGCACACACAGGGACATGCACACATAGACACACACAGACAGGTAGATACAGTGGATGCACACATAGGCACATGCACACACACAGGTAGATACAGTGGATGCACACATAGGCACATATGTGCACACAGACACATGCACACCCACACAGACACGGAAATACAGTGGATGCACACACAGGCACATATGCACACACAGGCACACAGGTAGATACAGTGGATGGACACACAGGCACATGCACACACAGACACACACAGACATGTGACATACACAAAGACACACACAGGAATGCACATATGGACACCCACACCCATGGACACAGGTGTGCAGGTGGACACACACACACACACACACACACACTGTTGTGGTGGCAACATCCAGTCTCCTCCTCTTGGTCACAGATGACCCAGGCAGGTGAGGACTGGGGCCGTAGACACCCACTGAGCCTTCCTGGAGGCCTCACACTCAGGCAAAGGCTCCCTGTCCAAATACCCACCTCTCGAAAGGACCCAGGCAGGCTGCAGAACTTGTAGGCTGCATAGATGGGCACCATAGCCATGGAGGACGTGGCAATGACCCAGCCCAGTGCGTTGGCCCAGTCAGGGAAGATGTAGGCTCCGTAATGGGGGGGCCTGAAGGTCACAATGCTGACCACGACCACGAACTGAAACCAGTGGACACAGAGTTCAGGCAGCTCTCAGCCAGTGGTGCCAGGACAAAGCAAGGATCAGGCAGGCACTTCATGGCAGAGGGTCTCTTGCCTCCCACAGCTGTGCACATGCAGACCCCAGCGAGGCCTGCAGACGTGGCAGCCGGGCATCCACATCCTCCTGAGGCATGAACTAGCCTGTCCTGTCCTATCCTGTTCTATCCCACCCCATCCCATCCTGTTCTATCCCATCCTATCCCATCCCATCCCATCCCATCCCATCCCATCCCATCCCATCCCATCCCATCCCATCCCATCCCATCCTGTTCTATCCCACCCCATCCCATCCCATCCTGTTCTATCCCATCCCACCCCACCCCATCCCATCCCATCCCATCCCATCCTGTTCTATCCCATCCTATCCCATCCTATCCCATCCCATCCCATCCCATCCCATCCCATCCCATCCCATCCCATCCCATGCCTTCCTGTTCTATCCCACCCCATCCCATCCCATCCCATCCTGTTCTATCCCATCCCATCCCATCCCATGCCTTCCTGTTCTATCCCACCCCATCCCATCCCATCCCATCCTGTTCTATCCCATCCCATCCCATCCCATCCCATCCCATCCCATCCCATCCCATCCCATCCCATCCCATCCCATGCCTTCCTGTTCTATTCCTTGCTTGAAATCACAGCAAAACATATCTGGCCACTACTCAGTACACTGAATCTATGCTCCATGGGCTGAAGACAGAACTGTGAGCCAGGCAGGACAACCCTAGGGGCATCTGAGCTCCATATCTCTACTCAGTCTAGAAGAAAATCAGATAAAGTCACAGAGCCATCTCAGAACACCACCACGAAAGTAATGTGGAAGGTGGAGTGGATACCACTTGGAGGGGAAGCTTCCCATTCTCCGGAGACTTCTCCTCAGGCAGCTCATGCATTTGTTCATCCACTCCACAAAATGCACCACCATCTAAAAACAGCCTCCGTGTGCCTACATATATGCCACACACATGACTGTGTTCCGTGTACCCACATGTGGACTGCAGGCCTACATATGTGTTGCACACCTGACTGTGTTATGTGTATTCACATGTGGACAGCACTCCTACATATGTGCTGTACACCTGAGTGTGTTCTGTGTACTCACATGTGGACTGCATGCTTATATATGTGCTGCACACCTGTGTTCAATGTACTCACATGTGAACTGCATGCCTACATATGTACTGCACACCTGACTGTGTTCCATGTACCCACATGTGGACTGTATGCCTACATATGTACAGCACACCCATGTTCTGTGTGCATGTGGACAGCACACCCACATATGTGCCACACACCTGTGTTCCATGTACCACATGTGGACTGCACATCTACATATGTACTGCACACCTGACTGTGTTCTGTGTACCATATGTGAATAGCACTCCTACATATGTGCTGAACACCTGTGTTCCATGTACCACATGTGGACTGCACACCTACACATGCTGCACACCTGTTTCGTGTACCACATATGGACTGCACGCCTACATACGTGCTGCACACCTGTGTTCCATGTACATGTGGACAGCACTCCTGCATATGTACTGCACACCTGTGTTCCGTGTACCACATGTGGACTGCATGCCTACATATGTGCTGCACACCTGACTGTGTTCTGTGTACCACATGTGGACAGCACTCCTACATATGTACTGCACACCTATGTTCTGTGTACATGTGGACTACACACCTACATATGTGCTGCACACCTGTATTCATGTACCACATATGGACAGCACTCCTACATATGTGCTGCACACCTGACTGTGTTCTGTGTACATGTGGACAGCACTCCTACGTATGTGCTGCACACCTGACTGTTCTGTGTACCACATGTGGACAGCACTCCTACGTATGTGCTGCACGCCTGTATTCATGTACCACATATGGACAGCACTCCTACATATGTGCTGCACACCTGACTGTGTTCCATGTACCACATGTGGACAGCACTCCTACACATGTGCTGTGCACCTGTGTTTCATGTACCACATGTGGACAGCACTCCTACATATGTGCTGCACACTTGACTGTGTTCCATGTACCACATGTGGACTGCACACCTACATATATACTGCACACCTGTGTTCTGTGTACCACATGTGGACTGCATGCCTATATATGTGCTGCACACCTGGGTCCTTTCCAAGGAGACAAGGAAAGCTCTGATAGATATGGCTTATGAGATATGAGCTTAACATGCAGCTTTTCCCAAAGTGTCCATTTTTCCTCAATTTCAGAAAAGTTGAACATCCAAGTCTTCTACCCGGAAAGCACGTTGGATGCGTGTCTCATGCCAGTCTCAGCATCTTCTTCATGTGCTGCCTCGAGACACCTGTAGGTTTGGAGCCAGGTAGCAAAGGACTGGGAAGGGGTTGGGGTCAGGACTGTCACATGACCAGAGCCAGGATGGCCAGCTCTTTGGTAAACGAAGCCAGTGTCCTGGAGCATCTGGGATTAGGGGCGCCTGCCCTGGCTGCACAGAGAGCCCTGAGCACACTTTAAAGAGTCATGCATACCTCCCTAGACATGGCAGTTTTGCATTTCGGGCACGTAGGTATTGCTGTAGTATGTTTTCCTGCATTGTTCAACTTCTTGCTAGATAGCACTTTTCTTAGAAAGACTATGCCTTCGAGGCCACAGTCTGCCCACGTGAGTTGCTCTGGCATAATTCCCTTTCAGCATCATCGGCCACAGAGTCATGTCAACAAGCCTGGGGCATGTACACTCCTTCCAACCGGAGGCCAGCACATGCCAGAGGGCAGGGGACTGTGCCACAACCCAAAGAAACATACAATAATACGGACATTACTTTTCTGCTAAAATTGAAACTTCACAGCACTGCACTGCAATGTTAAATACAAAATGGCACAGAACAATGAAATTGTCATGTTGCTCTCAAGTTGGCAAAATGAAGTCCTGTTTCGTATAGTTTGTAGGTTTATCTACAACTACGAAGTGTGTTTCTGTATGAAGTTCGAAGGTTTAATGTAAGATCAGTAGAACATTTTATCTCCTAAGATCAAGGTCAGTCCTCTGGATGTTAAAAGAAGAAACCCCCCCAAGGGGAGCCAAAGTCTTCATGCAAAACAGCTCGGTTTCAACTAAAGGCTGAACAGTGGCGGGAAGAGGTACTGTACCAGGCCGGGGAGAGCAGTGGGTGGGTGGGAGGCTGCCTCACCTTCCCCTCTGAACAGCCGTGTACTCTGTCCTATTAAAAGACTGCCCCTGATCCAAGATATCCAAGATGGTTGATCGCTAACAGTTCGGGATTGTAGCTCCCAGTGAAAGTGCAGAGAAGGAGAGGACGCCACACTTTCAGACGAATTTTCGTCGCTCACAGACCAGAAGATTCCCAGTGGAGGAGCCCCACGGGTAGCCACCGCGACTCTTGTGGCCGGCGCAGCAGTTTTGCTGGCACCTCGGCGTGGCAGCTCTTCGTGCAGAGTAAACGGGAGGAGATTCCCAAGCAGAAGAGCACCATCAGTCTTATCACTGCTGTTTTGGCCGGCACAGTGGGTTGCTTGGATTCCAGTGCTGGGAATCAATAAACTGGGCATCCACTCAGAAACCCAACTAGAAAGGCGGTAATTGTAAAGACGACAGATGGATAAATTTATAACAAAGGGGAAAAAACCAGCCTAAAAAGGCTGAGCATACCCAAAATCAGAACCCCTCTCCCTCTACAGGGGATTACAGTTCCTCATCAGCAACAGAACAAGCCCTGATGGAGAAGGACTGTGTGCCATTAACAGAAGTAGGCTTCAGAAGGTGGATGATAAGAAACTTCTGGGAGTTAAGAGAACTTGTTCTAACCCAATGTAAAGAAACTAAGAACTTTGAAAAAAGGTTTGATGAAATGCTAACAAGAACAGACAATACAGAGAGGAATATAAATGAACTAACAGAGTTGAAAAACACAACACAAGAACTTCGCGAAATATGCACAAGTTTAAATAGCAGAATGGATCAAGCAGAAGAAAGGATATCAGAGGTCGAAGACCAACTTAATGAAATAAAACGAGAAGACAAGAATAGAGAAAAAAGGATAAAAAGGAATGAGCAAAGTCTCCAAGAAATATGAGACTATGTGAAAAGACCTAATCTACGTTTGATAGGTGTACCTGAATGTGATGGAGAGAATGAATCCAAGCTGGAAAATACTCTTCAGGATATTATTCAGGAAAACTTTCCCAATCTAGCAAAGCAGGACAATATTCAACCCCAGGTAATACAGAGAACACCACAAAGATATTCCTCAAGAAGAGCAACCCCAAGGCACATAATCGTTAGATTCACCAGGGCTGAAACGAAGGAGAAGATACTAAGGGCAGCCAGAGAGAAAGGTCAGGCTACCCATAAAGGGAAGCCTATCAGACTCACAGCAGATCTCTCAGCAGAAACCCTACAAGCCAGAAGAGAGTGGGAGCTGATATTCAACATCCTTAAAGAACAGAACTTTCAGCCCAGAATTTCATATCCAGCCAAACTAAGCTTCACAATTGAAGGAAAAATAAAATCTTTTATGAACAAGCAAGTACTCAGAGATTTTATTACCACCAGGCCTGCTTTACAAGAGCTTCTGAAAGAAGCATTATACATAGAAAGGAACAACCAGTATTAGCCTTTCTAAAAATATACCAAAAAGTAAAGAGCATCAACATAAAGAAGAATTTACATCAACGAATGGATAAAATAGCCAGTTAACATCAAATGGCAGTAACCCTAAATTTATCAACTAAATCCCCCAATCAAAAGATACAGCCAAAACCCATCAGTATGCTACATCCAGACCTGTTTCACATGCAAGGATACACAAAGACTCAGAACAAAGAGATGAAGAAAGATTTACCAACCAAATGGAGAGCAAAAATAAATACATAAATAAAAAGCAGGAGTTGCAATTCTCTCATTTGATAAAATAGATTTTAAAGCAACAAAGATATAGTGGTAAAAGGATCAATGCAACAATAAGAGCTAACGATCCTAACACCCAGATACATAGAGACTTAGACTCAATGAGACAGAAAATTAATAAGGATATCCAGGACTTGAACTCAGATCCGGAACAAGTAAACTTAATAAATATTTATAGAGCTCTCCACTTTAAATACACAAAATATACATTCTTCACCTTAAATACACAAAATATTGATCAGCCATTATTAATACCCATTTTTAGAATAAAGCTACATTCCCTTTCTCTCTCCCTCTTTTTCTTCCTCTCCTTCACTCCTTTTTTTCTTCAAAAAAAAAAAAAACAGGAAAAAATTGTCAGATGAATTATCTCTGGCCAAAAAAAAAAAAAAAAAAAAAGACTGCCCCTGAATGCAGGAGCCTTCTACGGGTGTCTCACAAGAACAGTGAACTGAACTGAGCTTGGATGAACAAGCATATGTGCGGTCACACCACACGGCCTGGTGGAATTGCTGCAAGATGCCGGGTGGGCTTTCTGACACTGTCGAGCTCCTCTGGGATAGGGCCTGTCTCTCATCTCTTTCCTGCACTCCAGGCACCTGCCCTTGGGTGCTCAGACCCCTCTGCTTGCAACGACGGGGCTGTCCCACCTGCTGTGTGCAAGTGACGAGGGGTCTCCACACACACAGGCCCTGCTGACCCCAGGACCAGCCCTTGGTCCATGAGAGGGTGTGGCCTGAGTCCCCTGCCCCATTCCAGGACCTCCTTGTGCCTGCTGGACTCGGGAGGTGCTTCTGTGTGTGAGCAGCTCGCAGGGCATGAGCCTCAGACCCGGACAGCTCTTAGGTGGCCTGTCTAGACCAGGCCGCGGTTTTGCTTTGGGAGCCTCCTGGCCTCTATGGCGGGGGAAGCACTGCAGGCAATTCCTAATGAATGGGCGCAACCCTGTTCCAACAAAACTCCATTTACAAATGCGGGCATCTGAAGGCCTTGCCCGGTGGGCCCTGACTCGGCGGCCCAGCCCAGGTGACAGAAACACGTGCCTCCTGGACACAGTGGTGCTGCTGAGTCAGAGGGAGGCCTGTGTGAGCAACGGGACAGGGCTGAGGCCACTGCTGCCCTCAGGGTCTCCAGCACTCAGCATCCTCTGTCCCCGCAGCCTCGGAAGCTCTAACTCCTACCTGGATCCTCACGGCAGAGGTGAGTGCATGGCCTGACTCACCTCCAGCTTCCCCTCCCGACACAGATACTCGGCCCTAGTGCAGGACTCACATGGCCTGTGACGGGTCCAAGGCTACCCGGGACCACACGTGAGGTTTCCTGGGTGGGCATAGAGGGGAAGGTGGAACACCTTCAGGAGACGGGCCTGCCCTTCTGGGCCGAGTTCCGAGACCTGACTCCAGCCATAGTGACCTCAGCCTCAAAGCGGCCTTTAGGGGCACACCCAGGCCCTACCCTCGGCCTCCTGTGCACTCAATTTGCTCAAGCAACAACCTCATGCAGCCACTGGACCCCAGGGGTAGGTGCCAGAGCGGGGGAAGTGGACCGATGGGGAAGGGGTAGGCAGCCGAGGTCCCTTACCAGAAGGAAGCAGGGGCTGACCAGCTTCCAGCAGAGCCGCCAGTACAGGCTGGGCCGCTGCCCGGTCATCTGCTGGATGTCGTCGCTGAACTGCCCGACGCCTGGGGGGAGAAACAGCAGCTTCAGTGCCCATGAGGGCGGCACATTCCCCTGATGCTGGACCTGCGTGGGGGTCCTCGCTGACCCCGAGTCCCACCCACTGACCCCAGGCTCCGGCTACACCCAGCCTCCTGCAGGGGGGGCCGGGCCACACTCCAGCCCACTGGGTGCCTTGCAGATGGGTGGGAGCCCGTGTGCCCGCTCCACTCCAGGAAGACCTGTGCCTCGGCGGAAGCTCCCAGTGCCCCAGTGACAGCCCCTCGGGTCCTCCTCCCCATCCCACAGCTGTCCCTGTCTCCCCTCTGCTGCCAGGACTTTTTGTTCACTTAAAAAGGTTGTGGTAAAATACACATAACATAAAACTTGCCATTGTAGCCATTTTTATGTGTAGAGATCATAATATATTAAGTATTAATACATTCATATTTTGTACCCAACGCCACCACCCAGCTTCTCCATCTTCCCGAAAGGAAATTCTGACCCCACTAAATGCCAATTTCTCCTGACCCCCAGCCCCCACCGAGCCACTGTGCCATCTGCTTTTTGTCTCAATGACTGTGACTCTCCTGGAAACCTCCGTGAGGGGGGACACAAGGTGTGGGGCCTCCTGTGACCGGTTACTTCCCGTAGAGTGTCCCTGAGGCCATCCAAGCTGCAGCCCATGTCAGCATTCCTTTCTTTTTAAGGCCGAATCATATTCCGTCATAAGAATACTGTCACTGTGTCTTCAGAAAAGCTACTTCTAGAAACGTAGTAAATATTTTTCTCCCCAAAAACAAGCACCAGCAGTCCGCTCTAGAAATGCATGTTTTCCTTTCACTGGTATTATCTATAGTATCTAACTTCTTTTAGGAACTGACCGTAAGAAGACCTTAAGAGTGATTTCTCCCCTCACATCTGGTCTGTGACTCGTGCAGCCATAGTTGATCTGCTGAGATTTGGGGCAAGCCTTGTGGGTGGCCCATGTTCTGTCAGAAAGGCACCTCCATGCAGAATCCCTTCTCCACACCCCACCTGGGGATCTGAGCTCGACGTGAGAGATGGACTTGGGAGGGAGTGGGGACGCAGACAGGTGAGGCCAGCAGCAAAAGGGGGCATCCCCAAGGCCACTCAGCCTCCCACCAGCAGGTCCCAGGGCCCTGCCGGAGAAGGTGGCATCAGCTCCAAGACCTGCAGGACCTCGGTGCAGTGGAAGCCTGGTGTATTCCAGCATATCTTATTAGAGCATAGATTTTGTTTCATTTAGATGAGGAGGTGCTGGATTCCTCTTTGGAAATATAACACAGAGCTTGGTCTTCTGAGGTGCGGGACGCCAGGGACAGCTTTTCCCCGCCTCCCATGGTTTCAGAGACCATGGTGCTGGAGTGAATTCGAGGCACTTTCTCCTTCCTCTGTGAAGCTCTATGTTTTGTTCAGAGGAGATTACAATTAAAGTGATAGATAAAGTATTGGTTCCAAGTACCCGTGAAAGCACGAGTTTGACATTTCCCTTTTCTGTAGAACAACAACACTGAAAACAATATTCTCAGGATAGGAGCTATTTGTCCTATTTGTCTCCAAGCCAGTGTGTTTATCTGGCTATAAAGTCCACAGCTCTGAGGCAGAGACAATGACCCCTCGTATGCAGGTGAGCTAGGTGTCCTTCAAAACCGGGGCTCACACAGCATCAGAGACATTCAGCTTTGGCTGGAGAGATGCACCTGTTAGGCCTTGTCTGCTCCCCTGAAGCCACCCGGCCAGGTGAGCAGAGCTGGCATCACAGCCCCATTTTACAGAAGACAGAATTCAGGGCAATGGAGGTGGCTTGCCAGGTCAGCATGCGGGGAAAGGGTAGCCCAGCTGCCAGGCTGGGTTCGTTGCTGTTTAAACCACCAGTGGACATTCCAGGACACAGCTGGGGTGGCACAGTGGGCAGGAGCTGCGCCCTGTTGGAGGGCTGCCTACTGACCCTTAGGCCTGACCGCTCTGGAGCTCTGGTCAGCAGAGAAGGCCATAACAGCACCTTTGAAATGCTCTGTGTCACATCCCTGCTGAAGCCCCCAGCATGGATCTGATTGTGTTCCCCTATGTGGGGTGGGCTCGCTTATGCCTCTTGCATGGAGGAAGCTGAAGCCACCTGGCCACTGTGAACACCTCTGACCACAGTGTGTGTCTTCTGGCTGCCATCCAAGCTAAGCACCTCACTGATCCCATCAAAGGGACCAGTGCCAAGCCTCTCCCCTCTGTGAAGCTGTGATGAACCCAACCCAGGCTACCTGCAGCTGAAAGGTGTTTCTTCATGGTGGCTTTGTCAGATAGGGAGTGGCACAGCCACCAAACAAGAGGGCGCCAGCCTGGCTGCCTCTCCTGGACTCACCATAGAACCAGGCCACCCCAATGGCTTCGATGAGCACTCCAAAGAGGATGGACGTGCCGGCTGCAAAATGGTCCAGGAGCGTGAAGACATAGATGCCGCCCTGGAAGAGAAGGATCCTGTGGACCTGCGGGAAGGCTGCTCCCAAAGGTAAGCCCGGCCTGGGGACACACTGCACACACAAGCTCTGTTTCACTCACTGCAAACTCTGGTTTCAGTCCCTAAAATTCAATCCACATGCAGCTTCTTAGGGCCACCTCTATTACAAAAAATAAAATAAAATAAAAATGATCTCTCCTTTCCTTTCCTAGGGCTTCACGTGCAACTAGAAATGGAAGCAACCGAATGTGGAAGTTGGCAGTGCCTCCCGTGGAGAGGAGGTGGCCTGGGGTCTCCTACCATATAGATAGATTCTGTCAGCCCCAGTGTCCCCCAATCCCCAAGCCCTAGAGGGAGGCAGCTTCAGCCTTGAACGCGTCTGGGGGGAGCTGTCCAGATGCTGAAATGACTATGGGACTCACTCTCCAGAGAGCTGTCCAGGTGCTGAAGTGACCATGGGACGCACACTCCGGGGAGCTGTCCAGGTGCTGAAGTGACTGGGATCAAGCTCCGGATGTGCAGTTAACCCTGGGCACTCGCGTGTGTGCATTCGTGTGCGTATGAGTCATTTTCTGGGTGGGTGGGGACACAGCTTCCTGGAAGCACTGCGGTTCTGTCTGACCTGACAGTCCCAGCCAGGCCGCCCTGTGCCACATGTTAAGGAGACATAACCAGGAGAAGGTGAAGCCGGCAATGGTACGTACGTTGGTGACGCAGAACAGGGAGAGGAGGAAGGTTGCCAGTACAATGAAGAGCGTGAAGAGCTCACGGTGTCTGTGCAGCAGCTGGAACTCATCGATGAGCCCGGTGATCACCGACTCCATGCCGCCCATCTGCACACAGAGCACAGGGTCAGGCTGCAGGCTGGGGCACTGCTCACTGCAGCCTGGGCTGAGATCTACTCAGTGGACGCACACCCGGGGATGCACATGGAAAAGGGGATGCATGGCTGTCCAGGGTGCAGGACGCCTGGTAGCGAGGATGGCTGTTGGCGAGGGTTTCTCTGGTGGCACGACCGCAGGAGAGAGAACCCAGACAGACTGCGCTATGCACGGTAGGGGTGAGCTCAGAGGGACCACGCTATCCACAGAAGGGAGGACCCAGAGGGGCCACTCTATCCATGGTAGGGGGGACCCAGCCAGGACCACTCTATTCACAGTAGGGGGGACCCAAAGGGACCACTCTATCCACAGTAGGGAGGACCCAGAGGGGCCACTCTATCCACGGTAGGGGGGAACCCAGCAGGACCACTCTATTCATGATAGGAAGACCCAGAGGGAACATGCTATCTACAGTAGGGGAAACCCAGAGGGACCACACTATCCATGGTAGGGGATTTGTAGCCTCGTCAACGTCTCTGGATGGGTAAGATGTGGCATAGCTAAAACACCACCACCCTGTCCACTACTACTGCACAGGCTTGGCTTGGCAAAATTTTCCCTAGCAAGATGACCCCCACACGCAAAGCTTTTGGGTGCACCTGGCCCAGTCACTGGCTACACCTCCCCAGTGGAGCCTCCTGACTCCCAGCATTCTCCCATGGGATGCCATCCAGGCACCTGACTCCTGCTTAGTGACCTTCTTTGCCTTGCTTAGTCCAGACCCCCCTTCATGCTCCTACATCAGGAACACGAGGCCTGTGGTCAACTCAGGGGCTGTGGCCCAGCTGGGTAGGAGATGAGTGGGGGCTGGATGCACAACCAGTATTTATGTGGAAAGGGATTCTGGGTTCCAAGCAGCTGACAGGGAAGAAGGAGCTGACAGGGAAGTCTAGCTGGTCCAGGGCTGATCAAGGGCTGGACCCGCCACCCCCAGCAGCTGGATGTGTGCATGTGTGTGCTTGTGCATGCATGTGTGTGCATGCACATGTCCAGGATCTGTAGGTGGCTTAGGGCAGGTCACACAGGTACCCCAGAGTAGAGTGATAAAGGAAAAGTTAAACTCCAGTCACCATTTACCCCAGCCCCAAGAAAGGTCTCCCAAATAATCGTGGGGCTTACTTGAGTTGAGCACGGGAGGTCTGGGGGCCGTCTGTGAGCCCAGGGGTCTTGCCTGACCCTTGGAGGGCAGGGCCCCCTTGGGTGGAAGGAGCCAAAGTGCCAAGGATGGGGCTCAGTGGCACAGGTTACTCACGGCACTGTCGATGCCCAGGGTGAGCAGCATGATGAAGAAGACCACGGCCCAGGCTGAGGACAGCGGGAGTGTGGCAATGGCCTCCGGGTAGATGATGAAGATCAACCCCGGCCCTGAAACCAGAACCCACCCTGCTTTCCACGGAGCTCTTGCAGTGCTTTCCCCACCCCATCCTGAGAGGCCAACACAGCCCACCACAGGCCTGTATGGACTAGGGCTGGTGCGGCCCTGCTGAAAAGCCTCCCTCCTGTGCATCCAGCAGATCCTGGCCTGGGACTCAGGAAAACGGAAACCCAGAACCAATCCGAGGGCTTCAGTTCATGCCCACTACCCAGCAACGGGGCTGCTCCGGATCACCTGCATCCTTGAGGGCTATGGGGGCGCTGGGAGAAGGAAGGGGCAGCAACAAGGAGAGGGCAGGAGGGGTTTCCAAGGTGGTCCTGCCCTTCGTCCCAAGTGACACCTGCCAATGTCCTTCTAGTTGGTTTTTCCTGCACATATGTGATATACACACACAGGCACATGCACACACATGTATGAACACACATGTGTGCACTCATATGTGCACACACACACACACACACAAATAGACCCAGCACAAGAGCACAAAAACACACAAATCACACACATCCACATTATTTAGTAGCCTAATTTCTAAATTTAGCAATACATTAGGGATACGTTCCTGACCTCCACCTCCCAGGCACACAAGGAGGTTAAGGTCCTCCCACGAGGTTAGATATGGCTGCACTTGGCCAATGCATGGTGAACCCACTATAAGCGGGTCCCTGCGAGTGAAACTTAGTAGAGGAGCATGTGGCTCCTTCACCACTGCCCCCACCATGGAGTCCAAGAGGTCACATTGACACAGGCTGCTATCAGCTGGGGCCCTGAGGGCTCAGAGGGGCAGCACATCCTGACGCACACAGGGTCGGAGACCACAGGGGCCCAGATGGAGGCTTCGAAGATGAGAGATAAACCTGCAGCCCTGTTATCCCTGCAAGCCAGGGAGGGGCATGCCAGGCTGAGGGTGGCATGGCCAAGGCAGGATATCCCCACACAGCTCTCTTGGGAAACAACACATGCTTCCTGCTACCAGCAGGCAGACTCAGGTGGAGGTGGAGGGGCTGGGACGGTGGGAGCCACGCATCCGAAAGTCAGTGCAATTTGGTGTCCGATGACCCCAAAGTAAAAAACAGTCCCACAGGCAACTGACCATTGACCATTTTAGAAGCCTCACATCCTCTACTGGCCGGCAGATCTCCCAAGTCCATCGGCCTGCAACAGACTCCCCTGTCCTCGCAGGCACGTGTCTGGCCCTCGCCTGTGGGAATGGGCCTGTGCCCAGCCTTTTAAATGATCAAAGGCCAGAGCCAGGGGCCATTCCTAAAGGTCTTTCAGGGGCCTTACTGTCAGCCAAGTAGCAGGATCAGGCCCGGCTCTCACAGCTCCCTGATGCCCCGGTGGCCGGGGGCGGCCTCTGCGTGGGGTGGGGGAGGCAGGCTTGCCCGAGACCTTCTGAGGCTTAGATGGTAAGGTCAGGAGCCTGGGAAGATATTCATCAGCTCGGGGAACGTAATGTCAACATCCTCGCCTTCATTTCCATACCTGCGTTAACATTTCACCGTTTTCTTGAGAATTAAGGCTGAAAATGACATTTACTTTGCTTGTCAGGAAACGCATAGAAGATATTCAGCTACTTTCAGGGGTTAATGGAGGTCTTGCAGACTATGCTAGTTATCATAATAAAGGGCAAAAAGAGTGGAGAAAATGCAAAAATGCAGCAATGAGTAATTTCACTGCTCTGCATTTATTTGCATGATGCTTTCGTTCTCCTGCTTTGACTGAATTTTTTCTTCTAGAGGAAAGAACGTGGGCTTAGGAGGCCCACCTCTGAGCTGTGGCTCCAGCCCCAACCCCGGCTTTCCATTGCAAGCATGGAGGGGCCCTTTCAGGTCTCCAAACCTGTCCCTACCTGCAGTGCCAGGGACCTAGTGACTCAGAGGGGGTCAAGGCTGCCTGGCCCTGTGCTTGTCACTCTCCACCCTTGCTGAGCCCCAACCCCCAGGTAGAGGTCAGTCAGCGACAACACCCACGGGACAGGGGCTTTTCTGAGCATGATCATTCCTCACCAACCCAGCACCCTGGAGAAGACAGTCCAGAGGAGCAAGGATGGGGACGTAGGATGGGAGCCTGCCCAACCCGGGGGCCCATGTCTGGAAGGAAAGGATCTTGTCCACATCCATGAGGCACAGCAGGCCTGGGGGCAGGCGGGGGCTCTGCTGACTGACAGACTGAGAAGCCTCAAGACTCCTCGGAGCTCTCAGCTGGCCCAAGTTAGAGCTGCCAATGCCACATCTTCTCATTCCAAACACCAGAGCCGGGCAGTGGCCCCAATTGCCTGGGCCTCCCCTCATCGAGCATCTGTGCCCATCCTGCAAGTTCCCGCATACTTCCTTCTTCAGCCAAGGCCTCCCTTTACCCTGGCATCTGTGCCCAAGCTGCCAGCTCCTTCCCACCTGGCATACTTCCTTCTGTGGCTGAGGCCTCCCCTCAGCCCTGGCATTTGTGCCCATCCTGCCAGCTCCATCCCACCTGGCACACTTCCTTCTTCAGCCAAGGCCTCCCCTCACCCCGGCATCTGTGCCCATCCTGCCAGCTCCATCCCACCAGGCATACTTCCTTCTGTGGCTGAGGCCTCCCCTCACCCTGGCATCTGTGCCCGTCCTGCCGGCTCCTTCCCGCCTGGCACACTTCCTTCTTCCGCTGAGGCCTCCCCTCACCCCGGCATCTGTGCCTGTCCTGCCAACTCCATCCTGCCTGGCACACTTCCTTCTGTGGCCGTGGCCTCCCCTCAGTCCCGGCATTTGTGTCCGGCCTCCCGGCTCCTTCCACCTGGCACACTTCCTGCTGCAGCTGAGGCCTCCCCGAGTCACCTGTGCCTGCCCGAGTCCTGGACCCCTCCTCACCCTCTCAGAGACAACTGCAGGCATGCAGGGACACTCGGTGTCACACGTTGGCCTGGTGAGCAGGAGGGGACACCTGCGCTGGAGGCCTCAGGGGTCTCCCAGCTGCTCCGTGGCCGAGCTGACGTCCCCGGTGTTCTAGGCCGGCTCCAGGTGTTGCTGGAACAGCCTGTTCCTCCCCTTCCCTGAGCTGCACGTTCCCCCACCAGGTGGCAAGTAAACATCTAGAGGGCCCTGAGTGACAACCTCCACTCCAGACCCTTGCAGGGCAGCCTCACATGGTGTCTGCAGGGAGCAGCAGAGGGACTGCGGCACAGCTGTGCTGCTCAGTCACATTTGGGCTTGAGGTTCCGCATCCAGGGGTGGAGGGCCCGGGAGGGGCAGGGCAGGGAAGGTGCGGGGGTGGCGGGAGGTGGGCAGGTCTGTGCTGGGACATGTGCTGCTCCAGCCACCTCTCTTTAAGAGTAAGGCAGCAACTCTCTCTGACGTCGCTCAGAGCCCGTGTGTCTCCTTCCTATCTTGCAAGGAAAAAGGCTTTGCTGAGAGCTCGGCTCCACTGCTACATGGAGCAGGCCCAGGTACGGCAGGGGGGCTCACCATCCTTGGCCACGTCCGCGATGGGCACGCTGTGCTTCTGTGCCATATACCCCAGGAAGGAGAAGACGACGAAGCCGGAGGAGAAGCTTGTCAGCGAGTTGATGGAGGTGGTAACAATCGCATCCCTGTGAGAACGAGACCAGCCGTCTCAGGAACCAGCTGAGCTGCAGAGGCTGCAATTTTCCAGTCATTATTCTTAATTAACTGTGTCTGGGGAAGGGGCGGAAGGTCTCTGGCGGGGCCACTTTCCCCAGCAAGCCGGCCCCTTAGCAGCCTGGCAGAGCTGTCCTTGGGCCACCCTGAGCCCTGATGGCTGAGCCTTGAGCAGCTCAGCCAGCGGGCCAGGGTGGGTGACTGCCCTGTGCCCAGCGAGTCCTGCGGTGGGCACCCCACCTGCCTCACCAGGCAGAGCTTCCAGAACCTTGAGGAACACACACCTGGGAACCTCGCTAAGATGCAGATGCTGACTGGGCAGGTCTCGTGGGGTCACAGGGGCTGTGTTTCCCGTAAACTCCCAGGGTGCTGGTGCTGCTGGCCTGGGGCCCCACTCTGAGGGCTGGAGGCAAGCAAGGGGGGACCAGGGAGGGTCCTGCGGTCGGTCAGGGCACCAGCCTCCTCCTCCTGGTTTCCTGTGTGGCCTGTCGCCAGGTTGACGGACCACACGCTTCATCTGCAGAGTGCCTGGACCCAGGTGGACGCAGGCCGGCTCCAGACGGGGCTGCTGAGCTTGGGACCTGCCTTCCATCACCTGCTCTCCATGGAGCCTGCCTGTGCTCTGTCTGGCCATTCTGCTACACACACTGGCTTTACTGTTTCTATCCTCATCATGCAAAAGAAAGTAAACACAAGCCCATAAAGTTCAAAGAAAGCAGGTCCCAGATAAAATTCTGTTTCTGTTTTTAGGAGGATTTTGGGTCCAGCATGGGGCTCTGGGTGACTGCTGGTAACACGGGTGCACATGGGATGGGGGGACACACTCAGGGGTTGTGAAGCCAGACCCTGAGGGAGGATGGAGACCTCACTGGGACTGGTGTGAGGGAAGAGGATGTGTCCCGGTGGAGGGAGGGGCTGGCCTTGCTGCTGGTGAGGGGGCATCAGTGGGGAATCATCTGCCAGCAGGTCAGGCCTAGGCAGGTCCCTCCCAGGAGGTGATGCGCCCACCAGGTTCCGCACCTTCACTGGAGTTGCAATCAGAATCATGTTGGGAGCTGCCTCACTGTTGCATCCGTCTGAAAGGCCACACAGCTCTGGCTTGTGGGTTCAGTTTATCCACCCTGTCTTCACCCAGGGACGCACAATTTCTGGGAGTCGACGACCCCTCCCCAGTACCCGCAAGGCCCCTGCCCAGCCCTGCTGCAGGCTTACCTGTAGCAGTTGTTGGTGAACTTGTTGTAGCTGGAGAAGGCGATCAGCACCCCGAACCCCACGCCCAGGGAGAAGCACACCTGGGTGGCTGCATCAATCCAAACCTGCAGAGCCAGAGACTGGTGAGGGGCTGCCCCAGGAAAGCGCAGGCCCGTGGGCAAAGGACCCGAGCACCCTCCCATCCCGGCCCGAAGCCCAGGCCTCTAAACAACACCAGCCTCGAGAAGCAAATGGCAGCAGCACGACCGTGGAAAACGAACTCTCTCTGGCCTGAAAGAGCCAGAGAAGCAGGAGGCTGTCTTTGTCCATTGATCTGGGATTCCCCCTGGAGCATCTATTAGGGCAGCGATTCCATGGAACCAGAGGTGCCCTGCTCCATAGCCCTCAGAACAGCACAGACTCATCCACACACATGATGGTGGCGCCCCAATAACCCTCAGAACAGCACAGACTCATCCACACACATGATGGTGGCGCCCCAATAACCCTCAGAACAGCACGGACTCATCCACACACATGATGGTGGTGCCCCAATAACCCTCAGAACAGCACAGACTCATCCACACACATGATGGCGGACCCTGATAACCCTCAGAAGAGCACGGACTCATCCACACACATGATGGTGGACCCTGAAAACCCTCAGAACAGCACAGACTCATCCACACACATGATGGCGGTGCCCTGAAAACACTCAGAACAGCACGGACTCATCCACACACGTGATGGCGGACATTGATAACCCTCAGAACAGCACAGACTCATCCACACACATGATGGCGGACCCTGAAAACCCTCAGAACAGCACAGACTCATCCACACACATGATGGCGGTGCCCTGAAAACACTCAGAACAGCACGGACTCATCCACACACGTGATGGCGGACATTGATAACCCTCAGAACAGCACAGACTCATCCACACACATGATGGCAGACCCTGAAAACCCTCAGAACAGCACAGACTCATCCACACACATGATGGCGGTGCCCTGATAACCCTCAGAACAGCACGGACTCATCCACACACGTGATGGCGGACATTGATAACCCTCAGAACAGCATGGACTCATCCATATGCTGCCTGATAGCAGCACCCTGATTGCCCTCAAAGACATGGACTCGTCTACACGGTACATGATGATCGTGTCCTAATTAGATGCACACCAGCAATGCCTGCTTTGTATCTTTTCTGAAACATAAGCAGCACAGGTGCACAGTGGCACCTGGGCATGGCAGGAGCGCACCTGCAGCTTAGATGCTTGTGCTGTGCCTGCCCAGCTTGGTAGATGGCATCCATGACTCTGGACATGAAAGGAAAGGTGGGCAGGTCCATGATTAGACCGAAACGGTGTTTTAAAAAGTCAGCCACAAACCTGCTAAGGTGAGGGCACTGCCGAGATTATTCAGTGACTCAGATGCCGATCTTTGCCCTGCCCAGGCCTTGGGTGCGGGAGAAGGTTCAGTCAAACCCCTTGGAGGCATTCAGGGGACTGGCCAGTCAGGGCTATCACTGAGAGTCCATGAAGCTCATGGTACAGGCCTGTGGACCAGAATGCTGAGGCAGAGACATGAGATGCTCCTGCTGGGGAGGCCAGTGGGTCTCAGGGCATCCCAGGTTCCAGGTCAAGCTTGCCTGAGTTTGACCGAGCAAGTAAGCTGGGTGCTGCAGAGGAGGTGGGGCCCTCTGTTCTTTGGGCAGCATGTCAGGGCCTCAAGGCCACCCCAATTCCTGGGACAGTGTGTTTGAGGGCAGATGGCCCAGCCCTGTAGTCAGGGCTGTAGAGATGGCCAGTGTCTCAGCATGAGGGGAGGAGCCAGGCCTAGAGTGGCTGGGTGGGCAGTGAGTGGAGAGGCTCATACCCTGCTGACCCATGTGGCTCCCATGCTGGTCATCAGTCACCTGCCTGTCCAGGTGGCTCCAGGTTGGATCAGGTGTCACAGGGGAGCACATACCTCCTCCTCAACCAGAGCTGTGTGTGCAGCTCAGGCCTCTGCTCAATGCCAACCCCAGAGCCAGTGCCCATGGCTGCCTCTCTGGGCCTCACCTCATGCACTTCCACTCCAGGACCTGGAATTGTCCTTTCCTTCCTGATTTTCCTCACTATGCATCAATCTATCTCTTATCTGTCAATCAATCATCCATCTATCAATCATCTATCATTGTCATCTATCCTTCCATCACCAATCTACCTGTCATCTCTATAATAATCTATCGACCACCTATCATCTATGAATATATGAAGTACATGTGTGTGCATGTTTTAATCTCCATCCATCCTATTGTATATCTACCCTATGTATGTACCTACCAATCATCCATCCAACCATCCACCTATCCATCATCCATTCATCATCCACCCATCCATTCATCCTATCTAGCTACTTACCTATCACTCATCCATCCACTCATCCATCCATCATCCACCAATCCATTCATCATCCATCCATCCACCCATCCATCCATCATCCACCAATCCATCCATCATCCATCCATCCATCCAGCCAGCCACCCTATCCACCTACCTATCATCCATCCATCCTATCCATCTACCTACTTATTATCTATCCATCCATCCAACCATCCATTCCATCCAGCTACCTACCTATAATCCATCCACCCATCCATCCATCCATCATCTATCAATCCACCCATCATCCATCCATCCATCATATCCACCTATCTATCATCCATCCATCCACTCATCCATCTATCATCCATCCATCCTATACAGCTACCTACCTACCATTCCTCCACCCAGCCAGCCATCCATCATCCACCAATCCATCTATCATCCATCCACCCATCCATCATCCATCTTCCATCCATCCATCCTATCCACCTACTTATCATCTATCCATCCATCCATCCATCATCCATCCATCCTATCCACCTACTTATCATCTATCCATCCATCCATCATCCATCCATCCTATACAGCTACCTACCTACCATTCCTCCACTCAGCCATCCATCCATCATCCAGCAATCCATCTATCATCCATCCACTCATCCATCTATCATCCATCCATCCTATACAGCTACCTACCTACCATTCCTCCACCCAGCCATCCATCCATCATCCACCAATCCATCTATCATCCATCCACCCATCCATCATCCATCATCCATCCATGCTATCCACCTACCTACCTATGAGCCACCTAATTTCTGACATCTCATCTTTGTAATTTGCTCCCCAGTGAGCATCTTTTCAAGTGCACTGGTGTTTGTTTTGCCTCCTCTGGGGCTGCCTATTCTTCCTGGCTAGAGCCCTAGGTCGTACGTAGGTTGTCCTCGTGGTATTTTTCTTTGATTCTGTGACACACCCTGCTCCTGCAAGCGCCCTTTTGGCTTCACTTTGGTCTTTCCGGGGTTCTGACGCCCTGCTGACTTCATGGCTTGTCTGGCTCCAGCTCTGCAGTTGTGGGTCCCTGGCCACTGCTGATTTTGCTGCCCTGGTTGTCCTCCTCCTCTCTCCTTGGTTCCTGTGGCCACACGCATGCTGCACTCAAGGCTCAGGCCCTGTCCCCACAGGGGTTTCCCCTTCGGTGCTGCAGACACCCTCCCACCCCTACCCCCACCCAGCTGCTGTGCAAACTCATAGGTGTCGTGTCCACGTGCCTTCTCTCACTGCACCTGTCAGCTCCTGCCTCCCTAGGGCTTTCCAGGGGTCCCGCAGCCATGCCTTCCTATCCCTTCTGCCCTTCCTTCCCTCTTCTGCCTTGGGCTTCGACTTGCCTCATGACCCCCAGCCCTGGCTCAACCCACCCCCATAGGGCAGCACCTCTCCACAGCCTCCTGCCCCTCACCCTAGACGAGACGGCCCCCCTCCCCACAGCCTCCTGCCCCTCACCCTAGACGAGACGGCCCCCCTCCCCACAGCCTCCTGCCCCTCACCCTAGACGAGACAGCCCCCCTCCCCACAGCCTCCTGCCCCTCACCCTAGACGAGACGGCCCCCCTCCCCACAGCCTCCTGCCCCTCACCCTAGACGAGACGGCCCCCCTGCCCACAGCCTCCTGCCCCTCACCCTAGATGAGACGGCCCTCCCCTCTTGCTGCATCATCCTCTCACAGCGAGGTGGATGCCCCTGGGTGGCTTTGGGGCCTGCCACCTCCCCACCTAGTCCACCTCATTTCCAACCATGCCTCATGTGAGCTGCCGTTTTTCTCACGCCAGCCTTCTGCCAATGGCGGCTTCTATTTCTGGGCCCATTTCTCAGAAACGGTACAGTCCCTTCTCCCTCTCTCAACAGGGCGCCCATTCCCCAGCCAAGTCTCCTCCCTTCAGGAGAGGAGACTAATCCTGGATGATTTTTTCTTTTGCTGAAGAAATCTGCAGCCCGACTCTGGCTGGAGTTGTTGAAGTGATTAATTCAGATGACTCATACTGTACCATGAGCACTTGGAGTTTGGCTTCCTGAGGAAAGAACCCTGGTTTCTGCAACTCTGACACCTCTCAGCCCTGCCAGGCAACGAATACAGAACCCTGGAATTCCGGAGCCCCCCCTGTGGACTGTGAAGCAGGGAGCGGGCTGTACTCACAGATGCCTCGCAGAGCCGATAGAAATCGACGCTCAGGTATGCTCTGATGCCGTCTATGGCTCCGGGGAGGGTGACCCCACGCAGCAGGAGGGCAGTGAGGACCACATATGGCATGGTGGCTGTGATCCACACCACCTGCAGGAGAGGACAGTGTCACCAGCTGCACAGGTGGGGCCCTCGGTAGAAGCAGACTCTGGCAGGAGAGCACAGGGCTGCCCTGACAGCTTGTCCTGTGATTGGGGAGCCCAATCCCTAAACATTTCCTGGGACGCCAGCTCAGCAAATGCTCACTGGAGTGAGACGGTCAGACACTTTCTGTCCTGCACACCCTCCCTGGGGATGGAATGGGAAGAACCACTTGGCAGGGAAAGCACATTCCTTTTCTGCATTTGCTCTGGCAGAGCAGCTGGGAGTGGCTGATGGCGGATTTCTGATGCATGGAATGTGAGTGGATTCACACTGGGGAAGAGCACCGTGGCACGATGAAGGGCAGCTCTGGGCTGCATCCCTGAGGGAAGCTCCCAGAGCCGGTGCCATGCCACACACACTATTTCGAGGGAGGGGCATGTCTTGATCAAAACTGGTTTGGGCCCACATAACAAACAGTTTCTTTATTTATTTTTTTTTTTGAGATGGATTTTCGCTCTTTCCCGGGCTGGAGTGCAATAGCATGATCTTGGCTCACTGCAACCTCTGTGTCCCGGGTTCAAGCGATTCTCCTGCCTCAGTCTCCTGTGTAGCTGGGATTACAGGTGCCCGCCACCACGCCTGGCTAAACTTGTATTTTTAGTAGAGACAAGGTTTCATCATGGTGACCGACCTAGTCTTGAATTCCTGACCTCAGGTGATCTGCCCACCTTGGCCTCCCAAAATGTTTTTATCAACAAAAAATCATGCCTCTCAAAGTATTTTTATCAACAAAACGTCACATCATGTGTGCCTTTCTGCCAGAAACACTACTGCGAGTGCTTGCCTCCAGAGGCCCTTCCACAAGCACAGACACATATGGACCCCAAACCCACTGTGTCCACCACGTGTCCACCCAGTCCAGCCAGGACCACGTGTCCACCCAGCCCAGCCATGGCCACGTGTCCACCTCCCTCACCCAGCCAGGACCACGTGTCCACCTTCCCCACCCAGCCAGGACCATGTGTCCACCTCCCCCACCCAGCCAGGACCACGTGCCCACCTCCCCCTCCCAGCCAGGACCACGTGTCCACCTCCCCCACCCAGCCAGGACCACGTGCCCACCTCCCCCTCCCAGCCAGGACCACGTGTCCACCTCCCCCTCCCAGCCAGGACCACGTGTCCACCTCCCCCACCCAGCCAGGACCACGTGTCCACCTCCCTCACCCAGCCAGGACCACGTGTCCACCTCCCCCACCCAGCCATGGCTTGTTGTGTTCACCCAAGCCAACCCAGCACAGCCACAGGTGTGACCCCAGCCATGCCACATGTACACTCCCAACCCGATCACAGCCATGGCCATTCGGGTTTCCCCAAACTCAATCTCGGCCATGTGTCCACAACAATCTGGCCATGACAACATCTGTAGCACAAAACTCTACTGGAGCCACATGTGCACCCCCTGCCCAGCCATGGCCACATGTCCACTTGGTGGCCCCATGTCTACAGGCCCAGTTGGTGACCCTGAGCCTCACCTTCCCTGAGGTCTTCACGCCCTTCCAGAGGCTAAAGTAGAGCAGCACGATGACCAGCACTAGGCAGGCTGTGAGCTGCCACCGTGGAGGCCCCAGGTCGTCGATGCCATGGCTTTGGTGGAGATGCAGCACGCCACGCCTGCAGAGGGAAGTCAATGGAGAGCTCTGGGGAGGGCCTGTCACCCCACCTGGAACTGGACGGCTGCGCTTACCCAGGGACCTGGCTTCCCCACCTCCACAGAGCAAAAAGCGTCCAGTCTGATGGACAAGAGATGCCCTCCAGGGAGGTCTGGCCCCAGGCCCTGGCAGAGGTGTCAGGGCTGCTGTGGAGACCTGTGGAGCACATGGGGGCCCAGGAATCCCCACCCACCCTTTGTCCTTGGCACCCCTGCTCATTGGAGCTGAGGAGGGAAAGGCTACCTTGGGTCTTTGAAAGAAAAGAGCCACAGAAAGCCAAAGGATGCTGCTGAGCTATGCTGGGCATCACTGCTGCCCACGGGGTGGCCCTGGGTCCCTCTGCAGGGATGAGGCCCAGCAGACTCTAGCAATAATGCCAGGGATGCAGATGCCAGCCAGCACTTCTTTCTGAGGGTGATGGCTCACAACACCTGCTCACACAGCTCCTGTGGCTTTGAGGATTCCACGAGGAACAGACTCAGTGGGTGACCGCTCCAGCAGGAACCACTCATGTGAAGGATCGATACCTCACAAACGGCAGAACAGAGGGTGATGGATGGAGCTGACCACTGGCCGTGCTCCTTGCCCCAGGCACAGAACCTGGGCCCCCTTTCTGTGGGAACTCATTCCATCCTGTGACATTCTGCGGGAGAACGTGCACCAGGCCACGTGCAGTTGGCTGCATCACCATTGCAAACCACGACTTGGGGCCCAGGTGACTGTAACAGCCGTGCTGCTGCCACTGTGGAGTCAGGAGCCGCGTGATGAGAGGAGCTCCCACTGCCCTGGTTCGCTTCTGTCGTGGGGCCACTGAGGTCCCCAGGAAATAACACCTGGCGCCCATGGTGGAGCCCAGCCAAGGGCAGCCTTGGAGAGCTTTCCACCAGCTGCAAGCCATTCCATTCCATGTCCCAGGAATTCAGCCTCCATGTTCCAGGAATTCGGCCCTTCAAACTCCAGAATCATAGCCAGACATCCTGGCGGCAGCAACAGGGAAGTCCCCACAAGCACTGAAAGGGCTGGAATCAGTGCTTCCTTCCTATCCCGGAGGGCACCCAGGCATTGGCCCCAGGTTGGCTGGGTGGACAGATGGCTGCACCACTGAAACCATCATCGCTATTCTCTGCTCTTCTCCAAGGCAAGCCGCTCAGTCTTGAGGCTGTCTGTCACCTGCACAATGCAGGGAAAGTCGCTGGAGCTGGTGGAGGTCACGCCTGTCCTTCCTGGGGCAGTGGGGACTCCCAAGGCCTTCTTCTCACTCCTCCCGCCAGACATCGAGCTGTGCCCCGCTGGCTAACTCCCCGTCACTCTGCTCCAGAGCCAGGCTTTATCACCTAGTGCCTCTGAGACCCTACAGCAACTTCATGCAGCCTGGACCATGTCCACTCACTGCCCTGGCATCACTGACCCCAGCATGCTACCCACCCACACCTCAGCAGCCTTGGTTCCTCACACACACAGGCATGAATTACACACCAGACCAGAAAGCACACCCTGTCCCCGTTGCCCATGGGCCAGGAGAAAAGGCAACTCAGCTAATGGCCATAATGGCTCAGGCCCTCCTGGACCTGAGTGGGAAGGCCCAGGGAAAGTGCACTGCCACATCTGGGGCCTTCTCACAAGGCTGTGTCCACAGCACACACAGCAGCCTCAGCATCAAACATGAAGTCACCTTCGGAAGCAGGACCTTCCCACACTGGGTTGACCCCATTCTTGAGATTAGAAGGTCATTGTGCTGGCCTGGTGTGGTGGCTCATGCCTGTAATCCCAGCACTTTGGGAGGCCAAGGCAGGTGGATCACAAAGTCAAGATGTCAAGACCATCCTGGCCAACATGGTGAAACCTCATCTCTACTAAAAATACAAAAATTAGCTGGGCATGGTGGCATGTGCCTATAGTCCCAGCTACTCAGGAGGCTGAGGCAGGAGAATTGCTTGATACTGGGAGGCAGAGGTTGCAATGAGCCAATATCTCACCACTGTACTCCAGCCTGGTGCCTGGTGACAGAGCAAGACTCCTCAAAAAAAAAAAAAAAAAAAAAGGGAAGTCATTGTGCTTTAAGGTTATTTGAAGTCCCACAGACAATTTAGACAACAGGACACTCCTGAGTGCTGTCAGCCAAGAAAAGGGGTCCCCACAGCTGACCACAGCATGGGGCCCAGCCATGCCAGGAGCAGGGGAAAGTGTGACCACAGCATGGGGCCCAGCCATGCCAGGAGCAGGGGAAAGTGTGTGGCTCCCAGCATGTCCATGCTTCTGAAGGCTGGGTGGGCAGGACAATTGAAGGACATCTGGAAGGGGGCATGGGGCTCATGTGCAGGCATTTCTGAAGCCATAAATAGTTGGGAGGACCAAAAAGCAGTGGCCCAGGACTTTCACCAGGTGTGGAAAAGGTATGGCACTTCCCACTTTCTGCTGGGCTCTTTTTCCTGGTGAATTCATGGCCATGAATCTTCAAGTGGGTGACAGTGTAGCTGCCGGTGGTGATACAGGCATACTCAGGCCTCCCATGCACCATCCTGATGACCCCACAGCAGCCCTCTCACCCCATTTTACCAAGAGGGAGCCAAGCCAGTGAGGGGGCAAAACAAGCTTCCAAAGGATAAAATTGTGCCAAAGCATATCAACTTCCCATTAGAACAAACCTAACACTCTTTAAACAAAGACAACAAGAGCTAAATATCCATTAGTATAAAACTCACCGTGTCTAGCATCTAATAAAAAATTACTAGACATGACGAGAGGCAAGAAAGGTGATCCACAACCAGAGGAAAATCAGTCAACGGTCACTTTACATCACATACAAAAATTCACCCACAAGGGATAAAGGAGCCAAATACAAGGCTTAAAACCATAAAACTCTTCTAGGAGAACATAGGGTAAATCTTCACAATCTTGGACTTGGGAATGGTTTCTTAAATATGACACAAAAGAAACAAAAGCTGAATCGGACTTCATCGAAATTTAAAACTTCTGTGCATTGATGCTATCAACAGAATAAAAAAGAAAACTACAGAATGTAAAAAAAATTTGCAAATCATCTATCAATTTGATAAGAGAAAAATATCCAAAATATGTAAAGAACTCCTAAAACTCAACAACAACAACAACAACAAAAACAGACAACCCAATCCAAAAATGGGCAAAGGACTTGAATAGACATTGCTCCAAAGATGTTATTACAAATGGCCAATAAACACATGAAGAGATGTCCAAGGGTCACTAATCCTCCGGGAAATATAAATCAAGACCACTTAATTTACGTTTCAAATATAATGAGAGACTACTTCACACCCATTGGGATGCCTATTATAAAAATAAACTAGCAGACAGTAAGTGTTGTCAAGTGTGGGGAAATTGGAGCCCTTGTGCATTGCTGGTGGGAATATAAAACAATGCCTCCGCTGTGGGAAACAATGCGGTGGTTCCTCAAAAAATTAAACACAGAATTATCACATGGCTCCAGCAATTCAACTTCTGGGTATCCAGCAGGTACTCAATACTCAAGTTCATAGCAGCATGTTTTTACAGTAGCCAAAAGGTGGATGCAATTCAAATGTCCATCAAAAGACAAATAGATCTGGTCAGGTGTGGTGGCCCATATTTGTAATTGCAGTGCTCTGGGAGGCTGAGTTGACCCCAAGAATTTAAGACAGGCCTGGGCAACATGACAAGACCCCACTTTACAAAAAATTTTTAAAATTAGCTGGATGTGATGTCACACACCTGTAGTACCAGCTACTTGGGAGTCTGAGGAAGAAGGATTGCTTGAGCCCAGGAGGTCAAGGCTGCAGTGAGCCGTGATCATACCACTGCACACTCCAACCTGGACAACAGAGTGAGATTCTGTCTCTAAAAACAAAAAAGATAAATGGATAAACAAAACATGATATATCCTTACAATGGAATTGGAATATTATTTGGCCTTAAGGATTGAGATTCTGACAATAGGTTCTGAAATTCTTCAATAAACCTTGAAGACATAGGCTAAGTGAAATAAGCCAGTCACAAAAAAATAAGTGATTCTACTCAGCGGAGGGACCTACAGTAGTTAAATTCACAGAGACAGAAAGTAGAATGGTAGCTGCCAGGGGCTGTGGTGAGGGATAATGGGGACTTAGTGTTTAATGGGGACAAAATTTCAGCTTTGGAGGAGGAAAATGTTCCGATGGATGATGGTGATGGTGGCACAACATGTGAATGTACCTAATGCCACTGAATGTCTACTTAAAAATGGTTAAGATGGGCCAGGCATGGTGGCTCACCCCTGTAATCCCAGAACTTTGGGAGGCCGAGGTGGGTAAATCACTAATTCAGGAGATGGAGACCATCCTCGCTAACATGGTGAAATCACATCTCTACTAAAAATACACAACATTAGCCAGGCATGGTGGCATGCACCTTTAGTACCAACTACTCAGGAGGCTGAGGCAGGAGACTCACTTGAATCCGGGAGGTGGAGGTTGCAGTGAGCTGAGATGGCACCACTGCACTCCAGCTTGGGCAACAGAGTGAGCCTCTGTCTCAGAAAAAAAAATGGCTAAGATGGTAAGAAATGTCATGTACAGTTTATCCCAATAAGCCCCCAAGAAGGCAGATAAGTTTGTGTAAAGCCCAAGCTGAATCATTATCAACAAGTCTATGCTACAAGAAATGATAAAGGGAGTTCTTTAGATGGAAGGAAGATGGTCTGAAATGGAATCCTGGATCTACAAACAGGGTCAGACAGCACCAGAGCTGGTGGCTATGCAGGTACATGTTTAAAATGCAAATGCTTGGCCGGGCGCAGTGGCTCAAGCCTGTAATCCCAGCACTTTGGGAGGCCGAGGCGGGTGGATCACGAGGTCAGCAGATCGGGACCATCCTGGTCAACATGGTGAAACCCCGTCTCTACTAAAAATACAAAAAATTAGCTGGGCACGGTGGTGCATGCCTGTAATCCCAGCTACTCGGGAGGCTGAG